AAAAAAAAAAAAAAAAAAAAAAAAAAAAAAAAAAAAAAAAAAAAAAAAGCAAAGTTGGCAAAGGCGAACGAGAAGAGCAAAGTGAAGGTGAGATGTCGGAAGGCAATTTCGAGCTCGATGCTAGCAGCTCTTATACCTTTTGAGAGCTGAACAATCCTCGCGAGGTGCTTGGTGCATCGCTCACTGGGACAATCATCGTGAATCGTGAATATGCGGTTCACCTTGAAGCGCATGGCCGGTGCAGAAGTCGGCGCGCATTGCCCGCCGAATCGCCAAATCGCCGAATCGACGCTACCTATGCCATGGTCAGTGAGTGCAGGCGCACCTCTAATTTTAGCCCCGATGCAGCACGGGCACAAGAACCGCTTTGGGGCCTGCAAGAGGTCATTGTCTGGCTCTTGCCGCCTGGCCAGCGTAGCGTCGGTATGGCATGGTTGAAACCGTAGATTGCTGGGTGAGAATTATTCGTGAAATCGGGTTTCTGAGGAATCTGCGTCCCAATGCGCCAAGAGGTCTGACCACAATCGAACCTGCACGAGGAGCGAAAGCCGTTCGTTAGGTGGCTGCTCACACGCATTTGGGTCCCACAGCACGTCGGTCTTTCAGGCTGTCAAGCTGCAATCGTGAATGCGTGACGCACGAACGAGGCCCACGCATTGTAGGATGAAGTGCTTGCGCCACGCATGGCAGGATGAAGTGCTTGGCGCCAAGCGCTGCAGGATGGCTACATCGTCAGTGCACTGAACCGCATCGGACACTGCACCATTCGGCTGCAGCCGCTTGAGGGCTTGCGTTGTCTAGCCTTGCTCGGTCGTTCCGAGTTGTGAACAAGAGGAGCGAGTGATCGTTGAGAAGCAAGGGCTGCTGCGAAAAGAGATCGAATTCGCATCGAGTGGCAGCTTGACTAGAGGAATTGGGAGAGACTTGGAATACATGCAAGGTAGGCGTCCGTGCCTCGAGCATAGGCGGACTCCGTGCGCTCTTCATGCAGGGGCACATCATTGTCCCAGGTATAGGGTGCGGACGTGTGCGGCAGCCGGTCGCCGCGGGCGAGCAAGCATACGCAGAGCCTCCATGCAGCAGCAGCTGTATTGCACGCGCGATGCGCCAAATGCGCCGTCTTGCAGGTAGGCGCATTCGCTCGCTCGCAAGGATGGAGCTTTCGACGCCGCGCGCCCAACAATTTGCATGAATCCACCTCCATGCCCGCGAGCGATGCAGCCCACGAGCGATGCAGCCCAAGCGCTCTGCTGATGCATGCATGCATGCCGCGCGAGTTGCTAAGGCAGCTGCCTATAGAGCCGAGAGCAAAGCGCGCGCATCACGCGCGGGATCCTACTTCGCCCGCGGGTGATGCTCGCTCGAGAAGAAGGTGGAGGGAATGCCAGAGCGCGCGCAACACCCTCGAGGTTGCTCATATGAGCAACGAGTTCTGGATTCCGAATAAACGTGATGAATCGCGCAAAGGAGATTCGCATCCACCACCACCGCATCAAGTAGTACATTCACATCTACGACTCTCGACAGCTCGCCTTTCTCTTGTTCCCCAAGATCTCATCTCGATTGCCGCGTCGCATCACAGACTGCCAACTCGATACACGTCCACTCGATCGCACAGCATGCCTGCAGAGGACGTACCGCACCTTCCACCCGAGCTGCAGACGTTGATTAGTGAGCTCGCGGCGGAGACCAATGTCTCGTCTGCGCTGGCCCTTTCCTCCACCTCAAAGATGCTGTCCGCTTCCGCTGTCAAGTCACTCTTCTCGCACCCCTTCCTGCACACTCTTGGTCAGGTCAAGAGCTTCACAGCTGCTCTGAGGAGATCACCAGAGCTGAAGCCTTTGGTCAAGAGTCTGGCAATAGAAGATCGCTACTTGCACCTCTCCACCAGCATAGCAGACTATCCTGATAGTCATGACTTTGACAAGCCGGACGAGCGCGAGCCAGCAACCTTTGAGCTGTGCGAGCTCATCGAAGATCTCGTCACGTCGCACAATCTTTCCGCGCTGGCTCTCACCGTCACGGGAGCGCGAAACTTTATCGACATCTTCCAACAAGCCTCACCGCCCAAGCAGCCTTTCACACAGCGTCTGGCTCTCGATAAGCTTGCGCTAACGGGAACGGATATCCAATCCTCATTTCTTTTCAAATGGTTCCACTCTCGCCAGCTTATACTGTACACGTGTGACGACGCCATGTGGGGCATGGGTACATTCAACAACTTTCGTTACAGTACATGTCCTAGTGATAGTGACAGTCACCCAGGGCAGAGCGTGTCAGCTCCACTAGAGCTGATTTATTGTGTCGGGAACGTGAGCGGCCACGTGGGCGAGGAGGCTGCCGTTCAAGCGCTTCTACCCCTCCACAAAGCGCTTCTATGCAGGCACACCAACAACAAGGTGGATCCGCGATTCGAAAGAGTGGTGCTTCGCATGCGTCGCAGTCTCGCTTCGGAAGCGCAAGTGCAAGCGACGGTGGAGAAGGGCAAGAATTTATTCAACCCGCCCATCGAAGTAGCAGGATGGGACACTAAGCACGCAAAGACGCAGATCGAAGCGGAACAGCTGGATTTGACAAGCGGTGCATGGCTCCATATCGGCGGAGCGAAAGATTTGGAGAAGGACGTTGAGCAACTCGGCGACGTGAAGGATTGGTCTGACGACGACGAATCACGCATTACAGAGTATGACGCAGAAGATTACGACGAGGGAGGGAACTCGGAGGATGTACAAATGGACGCCTTGCGCGACGCTCTGCTTTCGTGACTAGTCTCCTCGTCACTGTTACGCTAAACGTCATACTAGCAATGCAATTCCCCATGTCTCTGCGAGCCGATTCGAAGTGCTCTTGCTTCATGCTACACGCACGTCTGTCAGCTCCGCCGCTCAAAGTCACTCGTTGATGCGTCGAGCGCGAACTTGGTCCTATCAGTTTCTCGGCTCATGTTGACTGCGCAGTGTATCGCATATTGAAGCGTGCACGCATCATCGCGGGACAAGTCCGCGCTGAACGGAACTTTGCGCGTGCACGCACGCACGCACGCACGAGCGACCAAGCCTGGTCTCGCCAGCTGCGACGGCTTGAGCTTGGTCACTGCGACAAAGCGCGAAAACTCTTGCGACGTCCCGCCTGCGAGGTTGTCGACTCGGTATATACGCGTGCAGTCATCAACTTTGAATCGAGCGGCGATCGCGCGTCTGCCTCCTGACTCTGTGCGTGCTTGCTTGATGTCGTGAGTGCTGGGGAGTGCATGCAGGCCCAATGCCGCGCACGGCTGCACCCTTGAGCGCTGCGCCTTCTTGCAGCAACGCTATGCAGGTACCGCTTGGTTGGCGTCCTGACGCGTTGGTCCATGCGTCTGTCCAAATGCGGGTGACGGCAGGGGAGCAGAGTTGCTGGTGACTGACTGTATGAGATCAGAGATGTGCGCGCTGCGCGCCCGCTGCATGCCGCCGAGACGTGGGTTTTCTTTTTGCGTCTACTACACCATATCCACAAAACTGCGCAGGCACGATGCAGTGCCCCGCCGAAAAGCACACGTACACGTCCACACTGAAGCATGCCACAGCATGCATATGTGCGTTGGCGTTCGGCAAGCACCAGTCACAGTAGTCGTAGGAACTTCGTACTCCTAGAGGGCTTCCCAAGAACAGACCTGCCGGAACGTTCACCCGAAGCGGAGAATGGAGAGATAATCGTGACAAACGGCCCGGAGCATTCATGCCGCCGGGCGTCAGCGCGAGCTAGCGCTGGCAGCTCGACCGTGGCCCATCAGCGCTGGACTGGAAAAGGTACTTAAAGGGGTTGTTCTGCTTCGATCGATCACCCCTCTGCCCTCATCCAACGATCACTCTTCTTCGCTCATCGCCTTGTGCAACTTTTTTTGCTTTTTTTTCCTCTCACAAACTTTTCAGACCTCGATCGTGCTGCTGGCAGCTCGTATCTTGCTCTCAAATCTTTTAAAGTCCTTGCTCTCGCACTGCACCTTGCCTTCACGCAACTTTTCACCAAAACACACCTTGGCCACATCCCGTCACAATGCGCTTCTTCCTCATTGCCCAACTCGCGCTCTGCATCGCTGCGCTTGCCGTAGCCGCCGCTCCGATTCCTTATGGACAGATCGATGAGCTCGTCCGCCGAGTCAGCGTCAAGGTCGAGCCCAACGTGGGCAAGAAGAATGCAGCAAATGCGCAGGCCTGTGTGGAGGCGTACTGCAAGAACAATGTTCCTTCGGCCGACTCGGCGACGGTGAGTTGCAGGCGTGTCGTTGCACAGGGACTGCATCCGCTCATGCCAACTCTCACTTTGGATCGCAGGTGTTTGACAACCTGCACAAAAGTCCATCAGACAGCACCCCGCACTACACGACGTCCGTCAAGGATGCCAACGGCAACTACATCAACGGCTTCACACCCGGCACTACTCCCGACAATGGCCAAAAGGCGCCCATGCACCACGTCGACGCAAGCGGCAACCCTACTCCGCAACAGCAATCAGTCCTGAATGCAAACGGAGGAAAGTTCCCCATTTAACGAGATTCCGGGCCGCTGGTGTTGATCTCTAGACAAGTGGAATGTCCGCTGGCGTCTTGTCTGCAATCGATAGCTTGCATTGTGATCGCGTGCTCAAGCTTGCGCCACTCCTGACCAGCGGCTCGCTGTGCATCAATCACTCGAAAGCGCGTCGATCAAAGCAAGCGTCACCTGAGGTGCACCTTTGAGTGCAAAATGATGAGCTTCTTGCGCGGCACTTGTGAATGATGAATGTCTAGCGCTCAATTGAGTCCCGCTTGCGCATTGTTCGGGTCGGGTCAGCGGGTCATACCCGAGGTCTTGGCATGTGGATGTCGATGCGTGGGACTCGCTCATCGCTTCACAAGATCGCGCTTCCAAAAGAAGGGCAGGCCAATTGCTAGGTGAGGCATGTGCGCTTGGCGGCTCGTGGCTGCGATTTGCTGCGAGGCATTGCAGCTGCCTTGTTATTCAGCTGAGTTACAGGCCCAGAAGATGGCCACCGGATGAAATCCTTGACTCGCCACAGTGCTGGCTGCTCCGACATTAACATTTCCCACAGCAATCAACACCCGTGACTCGGAGTCATGACTTCTGATGCGAGCCCGCCGCAGTCGCTCGAGACTTTGTGGTTGCTACGCCGCTACTCGTGAGCCTTGACATCCTCCTCTTCTTCGCCTCCTCAAGCCTCTTTAGTGTCAGCTCCTAACTAAGGGAGAGCATACTGCTCCCTCCACATAACTTCGCCGCCATACACACACGCTCTCTCGTTCATTCAAAACTCGGAATCGCGCTTGTCTCGTCATTGGTGGCGTGCGGGTCGCTTCAACCGCGCGCGTCCGTCGGAAAGCTCGAGATTCGCCCGTCGCGATTGGTGATTTAGATGTTGATGTGTTGCTCTCTACCGGCAGCGCGCTCGCGATTGCTGCAGGAGGGTGTAGCGTGGGGGTGCTGTGCAGCTGCTAGCGCGGAAGGTATGTGAATTGTATTCGTGGATTCAAATTCGCCATTTTCACGATTCGTGATTGATATGCGGGACCGCGCAGCGTGCAGAGTTGCGAGGTTGAGTCTTATCGGCACGGTCACCGCGCGTGCCAATGGCTCCGTTGCACTCACGACTCACGATTGTGCTTCTCCCGTCCCATCGACGAGCGCTCTGAAATGTTCCTTTATTCCAGAGTCAAAGGGGTTCACCTATCGCCCCGACTCGTCACTGTCGCCTGCATCTTGTCCTCATCTTGAACATCAGATACTTGGCTGCGTCGCGCCCCGCGCGCCACACTTGCCATTTATCTCGCTCGCCGTCATCTCGACGCCCGATCTGCTCCTCTCGCAAACAATGCCGGCGGCGGCTTCGACCTCCGCCAATCTCGTCGACCCGCGCGGACGAGACTTTACAGTGGCGTATCGTATCAAGCCTCGGCTTGGCGATGCTTCCGTCTCCACCAATGACCCTGCGATACGCGCAACGAGCACGACCTCTGCCCTTGCCCTTGCAAAGAAGGTCAACGTGAGAGGTGAGGAGCAGACACTGGAAGAAGCATTCAAGGCCCACAGAGTGTACGAGGAGAGCTGCAAGACGCAGCAAATCTTTCATGATCTCGTCGCCCCCTTGGTGCCGTTTGCGGTGCTGGGAGGCTACGCTACCGCGCTAGCCTACGGGCAGACCGGATCCGGCAAAACCTTTACGCTCTCGCAGTGCTCCTCTTTGCTTGGTGAGGTCCTGTTTGAGGACATTGCCGCTCGACAGACACGAGGGCGTGCGTTTTCAGTTGAGCTAAGCTCCGTCGAGCTATGCGGAGACGACGTGCTTGACCTTCTCGACGAGGGCAAGAAGAAGGTCAAGATCGTGCAGGATGCGGATGGGCGCAGCCTGTTCGAAGGGGCGAACGCACCAGCAGTGGCTGATCAGCCTGCGCTGGAGGCCGCGCTGCACACTGCTTGGTCGAGCAGACGGACGGGGGCGACAGAGTGGAATGAGGCGTCTAGTCGAAGCCACGCCATTTTTAGGCTGACCATCCGCAACGCCAGTGATCCGAACGCGACGCCGGGTGTCGTACAGCTGGTGGATTTGGCTGGGTCAGAGAGAGCATCGGTAGAGGCCAAGAACCACTCTGCTTCGAGGCGAGGGGAGAGCGCATCCATCAACAAGAGCTTAATGACGCTCAAAGACTGCATCCGCAACAGGACCCTCTCGGATGGACTGGCTTCCATGTCCAGACCTCCACACGTTCCCTTTCGCTCCTCGCCTCTGACGCTCGCACTCAAAGAAGCGTTCGACTTGACCACCAAGCAGCCCACGCACACCGTCTTTATCGCCACCGTCTCTGCCTTGGAGAGGGACGTGGCGGCATCGCTCAATACGCTCAAATACGCTTCACAATTGCTGATTGCGCCGCGCGGCGCCAGTGCTACGATTGCCCTAGGCGCGAATAGCAGACCGACCATCTTGCAGTGGCCCAACGACAAGATCATCGCATACTTTGAAAAAAAGTGCGGCGCGGATCTCAGTCAAGCGCACCTCATTGCGCCGTACGAGAATGGCGCGACGCTGGCTAGAGTGCCGGAGCAGGAGTTTGTGGATCGCATCATCAAGGCTACACAGGGCAAGTGGGGTCACCTCAGAGCGCGCAAGGTGTACATCGAGTGGTGGGGACGCGTGGTGGATGCGCGCACGCTGCAGAGGAAAGATGATCAGGCAAAGTGGAAGGAGATCGTCAAGCAGAGAAAGGCGAGGGAGCTGCAAGATGATCTCGAGGCTGCTGCCCAGGCTTGAGAGGCGTACTGGCGCCTCGAGGGAGCATCGTCAGAGCCGACTTGGATTGTGTAGAATTTGTTTCCAAGCTTGTAGCTCGCGCTCTCGCTCTCGCTCTTTTCGTCCTGCCCCCGTAGCAATACATGTGAGAGATTGAAGAGTGATTAGCATGCCACGTACCGCGCGCCTACGACAGCAGGGCACCGGCTTGAGGGCCCGCCTGGAGTGTGCGCGCCTGGAGCATGCAATGCTCGCCTATCCATAGTAGCTCCCACCCTCCTGCTGTACCCCCTGCGCGCCATGCAGCCACGCGACCCGATGCTTTGTGAATTGCTCGATGCGAGGTTTCAACTTGGTCTCGTGCAGCTCAAAGTCGTCCACCGTGCCGATTCGCAGAATCTTGACACCGGGAAAAGCTTGGCCCACGCGGTACATGAGCGTTCCGCAGTTGCCGCAGAAATGATTCGTCATCTTCTTGCCCGATGTGATCGTCTCGGACTGACCGAATTGGCGCAGCGTCGACTCGCCGCGCAGGTGCTTCACATGCGTGTCCTTGACGATAAAATTGGAGGCGAACATGGAGGCGGTAATCTTGCGGCAGTCTGTGCAGTTGCACACGAACGTGTCCACCAATCCTGGCTTGACTGTCGACTATCAGAGTCACGTGATGTGCAACGACGAGTCAGAAAGCAGACGCTTGAAATGAGAGATTGATGAGTCCCTCACAAAGGCGAGCTGGACACTGCCACAGTAGCAGGTTGCGGTAGCTTCATCCTCCTTGGACCAACCATCCCTGATCAGCCCAGCGTTGGGGAATCTGCCGCCTTGGGCGAGGTGTTGGCTCACTTGCTGAGTGCGATGGCTCATCTTGACTGGGTGCCGGCGTGCGAATGGTGCTTGTGGTGGGCAATTGGTGTCTGTACAGCAGACGCGGAGAGCCTTGGCAAAGAGCCACGGGTCAAGCACATGAATCGTGAATGCCGATTGGGGGGGCAAGGCTGCTCTTATGCGCCATCTGACCCACGTGAATGTGAAGCATGTCGTGTGCCATTCGCTGACCCTGCTTGTTGCTGGTGCGAGTGCGTGCGTGCGTGCGTGCGTGCGTGCGCGCGGGTGTGGAGGTGGAGCCGAGTCGCAGTGCGCGACCGCCGTGGTCCGTGGAGCTCCGTTCGTGTTCGTGATCCAGACAGCAGTCGTGAGTCGTGCGTCGTGAGTGACAGCAGAGTCACGAGTAAGCGCATCACTGCGGGAGCGCACCTCACGGCTTCAACCATCTGTCACGGCTGCCTCGCTGTCGCTGCGATTCACACTCACACTCACACTCACGACTCGACCTCTGCCTTCACCCTCGCGCGTGGTTCTTTGTAATCACGAATTGGGCGCGCCGGGAGTCGCGCTTCGACTGCCGCTGCCACTCTTGGAACGCCCCTCATTTCACAACGATTCGCGCCCCTCGACATGCCGGTCCCCGCGATCCCCAAGACCTCTTTGGCCACTACAGTTCCCTCTTCAGCCGTGCTCACGCACTCCAGCTCTTCGTGGGGCCACATCAACAGCACCTTCACCTACCTGCCTCCTCGTCAGTCAGCAAGGCAGCTCGCCGCGGATGGAGCCGGGAATGCGACGTCCAGCGCCTTCTCGGGCGCCTCTTTGAGAGATCAGATCACTGTTCAAGCAGTGGGTACCGAGATCATCATTAGGAATGGCAGATTCGAGGTGGAGCAGTGCATTGCTTTTCCTCAGCCCCTAGCGCACACGGCTAGCTCGAGCACTCGTACGGTGGAACAGAGCATACAGGCTGTATGCGCTGGCGACGTGGAAGGAGCGCTCGTGGTGAGTGTTGATGAGGTGGATAGGGACAAGCACACCAGCTGAATCTGGACAATGGATCGCAGATTACCGCTTGCTGCGGTCGCCGCATCGCAGCGTGGAGGAGGAGCTCATCGGGCATTTGGAAGTTGCACAGCCAGCTCGACGTCGATGAGCGGGATGGACGCGTGACTTCGCTAGACCTTCGATCAGGTGTGTGTCCTTAGCAGTGCACCCGCGGCTGCTTCCACCTTTCGAGTCGCCGACTGACTACGATCGCACACCATGCGACCCAGGCGACATTCTCGTCGGCTGCGAGAGTAGCGTCAGCATCTGGCGATACATTCCACTCAGCTCGCCAAGTCCATGGCAGAGAGTCTGGCGCAAGCGGTGAGCGAGCGAGCCGTGCGCGTGAATGCGTGTGTGTGGGTGTGGCGGTCGCTGACCACACACACCACCAATCCGATGCGCAGCTGCCCATCGTCCATTGTCGCCGCTTCTTGGTCCCCTTTAGGCACCAAGCTTGCCGCGTACGCACAAGACGATGACAGGGTCTTGATCTGGGCACATCGAGCAGGCACAGCAGCCAAGCCAAAGCTGGTCGACACTGTGCACCATTCTAGACCAGTCAAGTCCATGACCTGGAGAGCTCCCTCTGAGAGCACCGAGTGAGTCGATGTGCCTTGTGTGCTCGTCTTCACCATCACTCACCCAACCACACTTTGCCTGTGTGCTCGTCTTCGCCATCACTCACCCAACCACACCTTCCCAACCACCAGCCAATCGGAAGCGCTCGTCACCACCACGAGCGATGGCTGCATCAGGTTCTGGGTGCCAGTCATCGATGAGCCCAACAAGCACAGGCTGTGGAGCAGCATTTCACCCTCCCTCTTCTCACACCACCCCCCTCACTACCTTCAGTCAGCCAATGTTGGTATCGCGCTGGACCGGGTCCTTGCACTGCATGCGAAAGAAAACCAGCTGCTGGAAGTCGGGCTCAAGGAGAGCAACCCGAAAGTCGAAGAGTGGGCTGCAGGAAACGTCAAGAGACTGGACAGCGTTAGAGAGTGTCCCGATCTGATCCTCGCATTCAAGGATGGGTCGCTAGTGGTCCAGGCACTAGGAGTGAGTGGGTTGGGTGTCTCGCGTCAGTCAAGGTACTCACGATTGCCACTCTCTTGGCAGAATGTCGATCGAGCTCCGCCAACGCTGTACACGCTCTACACTGTACTCTCGGTCGGTCTGGATCTTGAAATACCAAACACTGCTCTGGATGTGCATCTGATCCCAACGATGTCGACCTCGAGCGGATCTGTGACGGATCCGACGGCTGTCTTGCTCGTCGGCTCAAGCGTTTACGATATCAGTCCCGCCACTTTTTTTGAAGGATTACCGGGAGGCTTCACAAGTCGTGCGCCTGACAATGCCTCTGCAGATCACCAGGAAATCATTCAGCAGCTCGTCGCCTCGGCCGACGGCAAAGCGCTGCTGAGTCGCACACGTTCTGGCTGCACCAGATGGACAGCTTGCAGCCGAGGCGGCCAGAGCGGCCTGAAAGGTCGGCATGCCCGGACAGGCTGCATAGCGCTGAGCAAGAGGTTCGAGCTCTCTCACAATGACAGGACCAGCAAGGCAACCCTTGTGGACTTGTCGACCAACGAGGTGACGCATTACGATCTGCCGGCAGAGCTGCGTGTTGCAAGTGCTGCAATTCACAAAGAAAAGCCCGTAGCTCTTTTGCTCAGCGAGCAAGGACAGATCTGCTTGCTCACATGGCAGAGCGTCCAAGCGCAGTACTTGGCTGCACCCACCTCGAGCTCAAGCAGCACAGCGCACTTTTTTCCGGTGAGCTTTTCTGCAGATGAAATTTGCGTGGGAGCAATCGACAAGCACGGACGGATGCAGGGATGGAAACTCAGCCTGACGGACAAGGGTCCTTGGAAGCGCAATTTCGAGATCGCGACCGGCCTTGCCAGTCATGATTTGGTTCGAGCGTCCAACGACGGGCGCCTCATCGCCATTGGTACGTGTGCAGAGGTCCCGAATCTTTTCGCGACTGGGCTGATGTGGACGCCCCACCATACCCGTACCAGTAACGAGTGAGGGGAGTGAGAAAAGTCAATTATCTATCTGGAACGTCGACTCTGCCCCCTTCTCCTCCGGGCTCGAGTACCTGAGTGACTGGGAGTGAGTGCGGCTGCATGATGTGAAGCAGGGCGCCGCTCGTACTGACTGGACCAAGCGCGCTTGTGCGTCTCTCGCAGGTCTCAAATTGTCGCGCTCGATTGGTCTGATAGCACTCACGGCGCAACGAAGATTCTAGCACTTGCCACCGCCAGCAAGATAACTCTCCTGGCCCCGTCGCACGTTCATCCACTGCACCACGCTTCGACACCGTGGGACGTTCTGGCGAGTGTGGACTGTTCACGGTGAGCCACACCATTCTGTTAGACCTCCGATTTACCGCGTGCTAAAGTTGACTCGGGCCTTGCACGGCGAAGCTTCTTTGCTCTTCCCATTCACAGCATTTGCTTCCTTGGACACCAAATCGTTGTGGCTAGCGGTGCCAATTTGCACGTCTTTGGTCCTCAACTGGATGTTGCTGCTTCCAAGACCCAGCACCGCGACGCTGAAAGCGATGTGAAGCGTGAACACGTCGCCATCGAAGCTGCCAACAAATCTGGCCCGCTGGCAACGCTTCATCCAGACTTTTTGCTGCAAGCTTTGCTTCTTGGTGAGCGTCTGGGCTGCTGCGTGTCGGGGCAGGTCGAAGTGGCTAATTTGCGCAATTGATCCACTGTTGGGCAGGAAAAATGGAGCTTGCCGAAAACATCATCGTTGACCTCGTGAAAGATCTGCGTTCTGATCGTATCCCAAGATTGAGGCTGTTGCAAGACGACTACGAAAAGCTTTATACTGGGTGCGTTGGTGCGCAGAAGCAGAGTGGACGCAGGGCGCAGGCTCCCCTCTTTGACTCGGAGTTCAATGGCGCGTGAGTAGATGTGCCCCACCTCCAAGTTCAAGTCTTTTGCGGTAGCTGATGCGCACTTTTGGACGCCAGCGATACCTTCTCGCCCGTCATGGCGGAAGAACTCGTAAAGATGCTCGAAGCAAGAGATGCTGTAGTGCTCACCTCCGGGCAACAACAGTCTTTGATCCACATTGTCCAGACACTTGGCGAGGTAAGCGTCTTTACGCGTCCTTAGCAGCTGGCATGACATTGACTCGCGCCTCTTCGTGTCTAGCTCGCGGGACACAAGCAGGCCTTAGATTTGATGGGCAAAATCTATCTTGCAGCACTACTACACCGTCATAGGTCTCTCTCTTCCGTCGCAGAGAGCACGCTCGCACCGGACGAAGTCCTATTCGCGTATCACAGCGCTTCTCAAGAAGTGCTGCAATCTCGAATCACCGCGCTGCACAAAGACCAGTTCACGTGGCAGGCAGCACAATCGAGCGGCGTCTTTCTCTGGTTGCGCGACCGCGTAGCGTTGAATGCGATAGCTGAGCAAGTAGCACGCGCCCAATTCAACAGCGGAACGGAGAGAGATCCGGTCAAGTGCAGCTTGTTCTACTTTGCTTTGGGCAAGAGGAAATTGGTGCAGGGCCTCTGGCGACAGGCCGCTTGGCATCCAGAACAAAGAAAAATGCTGGCTTTCTTGAACAATGACTTTGAGCTAGAGAGGTGGAGGACGGCCGCTTGCAAGAATGCCTTTGCGCTACTCAGCCAAAGGAGATTTGGTGAGTTGGGCGGCGACTGACGTGAGGTGCACCTAGTTCCTTCCTGACCAAACAGTGCCACCCTCGACAAACGTGCAGAGTTTGCCGCCTCATTCTTCATGCTTGGCGATAGTCTTCAAGATGCGGTCAATGTATGCGTGCGCAACCTTGGCGATCTGCATCTAGCTCTGGCGCTCGCAAAGATTCGTGAAGGAAGCGATCAGGGACTCGTATTCACCCAGCTTCTGAGAAAGCACGTTCTACCATTAGCATTCAATGAGGGCTCCAAAGCTTTGGCCAGTTGGGCGCTGTGGGTTCTAAAGTCGCGCGAATTAGCTATGCGCGCCTTGGTAGTGAGTGTGTCATGCGAGCTGCGGTGAGCGTGTTGCTGACCGAAGGCCCCGATGGCCCTCAGCGTCCATTGCAATCGATCGTCGATGAGGCAGGTCTGCCCTCAGGAAGCAACGTCGCGCGGATGACAGCAGAATCCCCAGCTCTGGGCCTTCTGTTTGCAGAGCTGCGCGTCTCGTCGTCCGCTGAGCAGCTCGGCGACCCGATGGGATACGTAAGACACCTGCGCTACCTCTTAGAGCGCCGAGGTGAGTACATGCACGCGCGCGTGGCTAGTGTGTGCGCCCATCATGTTACTCACGTCTTGCGCTGTTTGCGTGCCAGGCTGCCACGCACTCGGTCTGGCGCTTTTGAGAGAGTGGAAGTTTGCCGCGCAAAAGCCATTGCCGACTGCGTCAATCGAGCCAGGTCCCGTGCAAGACGTTGGCGAAGGTTTGTTAGCTGCACTGCAGCTGGCTGATACTCCTGTCAAGCGTGGTTTAGAGACCGTCACTCCTGCAGTCAAGGCATCCGCAATCTCGCCAACGGCGTCAGGGCTGCAGCAAGAGCGACGAGCTACATCGCTGTTCGACGTGCAACCGCCGGTCGCTCAAATCTCGTCGAGCGCGATGCGAGCATCAAGTAGCTTCGCAGCGGCCAAGGATGCATCTTTGACAAGGGATGCCGCCTTGACTCCCGAGACCCCACCAGAGACCAAAGCGAAAGTAAAAGAGAAAGAGAAGGTGGCTTCCTTGATGAAGGCTTCGTCCGCCGCTTCCCAACAGCAAGGAGCTCAGGACTTTAGCTTTGACTCGTTCGGATTTTGAAGCGTCCAAGCTCAAAACCCTGGCAGGAAGCTTCATCAAACTCCGCATGCTGAGGGTCGTGCGCTCGTCACTGACTGCCGATCGCTGCCGGAGATTCGGCATATCAAAGTGATGCTCCTTCTCGATTTTGTGGAGAGTGCTACACGCCCAGCTGCCTCGTGCTCCGTCCGTGTCGAGCACCTCATCCCATCTGTTACACGATACCCTGCCCACGACGAATGTTATGCTCGGCCCCCTTTTCGCTGCTTCTGCACGCCATGCGCGATCCTTGATTCTTACAGTCGTGAGTCTCGGCACAACCACAACGCACAGTGAGAGGTCTCCCCGCGTGAACCGTTCACCAGGTCACGTGGTGCTGGGGGTCAAGCGCGCGAAGAAGCTTGCTGCAGCAGGTGTGTGATTCGCTGGAAGTCGCGCTTCTGATGAAGGATGAGGGCGCGACGACCGCTACTCGTGCCTCGCTCATGACCACCACCGCACAGATCCAAGCACTGCTCACCTTTTGCAGTCGCCATCGTAGCAGCGACACTGCCCCAGTCTGATCCTTTGCGGCTCGGCTATTGCGACTAGCACGAACAGCCCGGCGATACACCTCGAACCTTGTCGAGGCTGCTCGATCTTAGCAGAGGCGCATGCAGCGGGTACAATGGCTAGGCCTAGCATTTGCCCATGAGCGGCAGCGCAGCAATGGTAGCCTGGCGTCGCGTGCTATGCCCCAGCAATCGCCTTGCGCCACTCGACGAGACGTCTGGGAGAGCAGGCGCAGTGCTTGGCCAGCGAGGCTGGCACACCTCGACCTCGCGAGCAGCTGCCGTCGCTTTCGATGCGCATCTCCCACCAGAGTTCGCAGCCCAGAAACAGCGAGCATCTCAGCACAGATCCTCGGTCGGCACTCGAGAGGGGCATGAAACAAAAGGTGTTCGCTATGGCGACCAACAGCGGCTCGGCACCGCTGAAGGTGCTGCGACCACGACAACGTCCCACCATCGAATCTCAGCGCCTGCAGCCGGCGTAGAAAATTACGACGACTTCTTCAAGGACCAGCTCACCTATGCACCTCGTGACTCTCCAATCATGCTGAGAAGCAGCAAGGACAGGCTATGGTCTTACGACGTCACGCCCGAAAAGCTGCGCGCAGAGCTGGAGAAGATTGTAGAGAGCGTGGACCAAGGGGCGAGGCACTTGCCCAGTCTGGCAAGCAGGCTCTTGCACTCGCTCGGCATTCGTGTGCACCTCGATGGGCAAGCTGAAAGCACGCTGACACCAGCGGCAAAGTTTGAGGAAGCATGTATGCTCATCCTTTCGCACTGTATACAGCGCTCTGCGCAACTCGGCGCGACGCACACCTCACACCACGACCCTACATCCATCCGCAGCATCTCGGCGCTCTACGAGTCTCAGGTGGGTCAAGCTTTTGTGCCCACTTTCAAGGAGAATCCGAGACTTGCGCAGCTGCAGAGGAGCACCCTTCACTCGTACTTTGGCCTGCAGTTCTTGGCCTCTGCGCGCCTTCAGGACGAAGGCATGCGGAATGCGGCGCTCTGCGTCAAGGACCAGCGGTTGAAGCCCAGTCAAGCCAGGTACCTCTTCCGGAGAGTCGTCGCTAGGCTAGAGGAGGGCAGCGTCAGAGATTCGAATGTTGCTCGCTCGTTTGCCGCCGAAACGGGGCGTGCAGGAGGATTGCGCGCAATGCAAAAGAGGCGAAGATGGAACGCTGCTTGGGAGGAAGCTGTCAAGTCTGCAGAAGCGCTGCTTCGCAGCGGTGTTTTGCTCACCTGGAGCAACGCTGGACTTTCGTACGTCGAAGCAAAGCATAGCGTCGCACCATGCGAGTCGACTGCCGATCGTCTAGCAAAGGCGCAGGGCGGCATCGACTCGAAAGCGCGGAAAGAACCAGCAGCGGAGCTTCACATGCTCTTGCTTGCCTTGTCCAACGCCCCACTCCCTCACTTGGCGCTCCGAGTCGCCAGCGCTGCCCAAGCCGCAGCTCTCCATGCCTTGTCGAGACGAGTAGAGCCTTCTCGCAGTGAGCCAGCGGCAACGCCCGGCATTTGGACCCCGCCGACCACTCCCACTCAGCGATCAGGCGCGCTGTCTGTCGATCCAGACTGGGCCTCACAAAGGGCGACCGAAAAGACGATCAGTAATTTGGTCAAAAGAGCAAACGGGAAGCACGCGGTGGAGATTCTCGACCTTGTCAGACCTGCTCACAGAACCCGCAAAATGTACGAAGCGGTGTTTGAGATTTGGTCAGAGGTGGAGATTCGACTGGAAGTAACTTGCACGGCTCACCGAGCAGATAGATGGTGCTTGTGGGTGGTGCCCACGCAGAAAGACCAAGAGCGGGCGACAACGGAACATGGACGTGGACATATCATGAGTCCGGCTGCTGAGCTCAGAGTTGCAGCCGCACGAGCAAGAGGCGACCTCTCAAGCAGACTGTGGACGGACTACGCGGAGCTCTTTCACCCTGCGAATCAGGACTTTGCAGAAGATGGCGCTACGCTAGGATCTCGCTCCTCGTCTGCAAGCTTGCATCGAGAATCGCGAGCTAGCGGAGCGCCTTTGGGACTACGAAGGGAATTGAAAAGACTATTGGAGAAGAGGTTCAAGTCTCATGCTAGGACTGTCCAGCTCGATTTGGTACAGGCGGATCTCGAGTTGGCAAAGACATTGCAGGCATATGATTCTGTTGAAGCAGAGCAGCGCAGCGTGGAAGAAGCTGGGCCAAATGAAGGGCTAGCACAATTTGCATTGCCAAAGTTCGATGCGGCAGCGTCCGATTTGGACTCTTCAGATTTGGCTCATCTGTCGACCACTTCGCACCTCAGCATCGTGCAAACAATGGTTCGGTCTGGACATTTTGCGCTGGCCTTTGGCTACGTCTCGCGCGTCCTTGCCAGCCACGCGCAAGACTGCCTCGAAGGTCGCAAGCGACACCTGCGCGACAGGAGGACCTTGTTGATCAATTGCCTGCTTCGAGCCGCACTGGCCAGTCGCACAAAGAGGAGGCGGGAGCTCTCGAGGCTTCTCACAACTCGCGCTGGGCTGGTGCAAGGACAAGTTGGCAGGAGCAAGAGTGCGGCGGATGGATTGAGGAGTTTGTTGGGAACTCAGCGCGAGTCTCGCAACTCCCCACCGCGACGGCAGCTCGCTGCTTCTCGTGCGGCAACTTTGCAGCCCTTGCAAGCAAAGAGGACCACCTTTTTCACTCCGTCGCTTAGTCGATCGTCTGCGCCCTCGGCGCGCATTGCAGCGGGCAAATCGCACGCCTTGCTTCGTGCTCAACGAGTGTTTCAGCTTTTCGACCAGTTCGAGCTTCGACCGAGCGGGGTGACGCTCAACATTGTCCTGCTGCGACTCTCTCGACGCACCAGATGCAAAAGATTGCTCAAGGCTCTGTATGGCGTCGGCATGGAGCTGGGAGCTGAGCTGGACGCAGCTGCTGGCGCTCGAGCGTCGTCGTCGCACACGCTTGCAGCTGCAAAGGAAGCACGCATCGACCTGGACGCGCTGAAAAGTTTGCAACAGGAAGATCGAGCGCTTTTGCTCGGCTTGCTCGCTCGTGCATCCAGCATTCTTCCATCGCGTATCAACGACAAACACACGACTTTGAGCCCTTCATCCGACCCCGAGGAGCCCGAGGAGCCCGCTTCATCTTTGCATTGCGCCAGCCCATCGATCCAGTACGAACAGCGCATTGCTCCCCTCGTTAGAGCGTTTAGCAGTGCTTTGTACGATGTCGGTGACTGCAAAGGGGCCAGAGAAATCATTGGCATGGGATTGAAGGAGCGCAAGCGAGCTCAAGAGATGCGCAAACGGCGACCCAGCCAGCACCAGCATTGACAATCAAGCTTGCACATGTGCCTACCGGTGCACACTCTGCAAAATCTGCACGATGGGCGTGCGAGCGAGCTGCGTGATTCGCTCATCACGATTGGGCGTCCATTCAGTCTATTGCAAAGCTCGGAGGGCTAGCTAGCTGTCTACAACATTCACGTGATTGTACACGAATCGTGCCTTAACACCAATGCATCAATCGAACGAGGGTTCACGGCTGCACGACGTGCACATCGGGCGCGCTTCTGCTGCTGCTGCAGTGTGTCCGGCTGGCGGGCATGTCAAGCAGACTTTTCCTTCGCTACGCCTTGCTCCGCCTCTTGATCCGCCTCTATCACATCTTCTTCAGCGACGCGTGGTCTCCTAGCCTGACTTCTACCTCTGCTCTTGCTTCTCCTCCTCTCCTCCTCTTCTGCCCAATGCACATCCTCGACCAAACCCCCCTCCTGCGGTCCCTGTCTCATCTCCCCCCTCAGCTCAGCCCTATCCCTCGCGGCCTGTTGAGCTCTGTTGAGATTCCTCATCTCCGTCACTCTTCGGCCATGCAGGGCCAAAGAGATTTCTCCCTCGGACATGACCCAGAAGTTGCGCTCTCCGCGAAGAAGCTTGCGCAGCCAGGGAGGCAAGAAAGCTCGCCAAGATTGCAAATCCTTTTGTAGTCGAGAGACTTGATGAGCCAACGCGGCATCTGCTGCTGCTGCTGCTGCTGCTTCTGATCCGAATTCCACGTCCGCTTCACCCTTTTCCGACTTGAGGCTGCCGCCGCGAGGAGAGCTGAGGCCAACCAGTTGCTCAGCGTCGATCTTGGACGATGGCTTCAGCGTGCTGGCCACGCTGTATGGTTCTTTCAGGTCCGACCATCCAGGAGGCAGCAGCTTGGGATGGATAGCGCCGAGCAAGAGCGGAATGTTGTGCAGCAGAATGAAGCTGACTATACCCGCAATCAAGCCGTACGCAATGTTGTACATAAAGGGAATGCCAATGATGGTCAGAAAAGCAGGAATGGCGTCTCCCGCATAGTCCCAATTGATAGCTGCTGCGTTTTTCGCCATGAGGGATCCGACGATGATGAGCGTGCTGCCCGTTGCCCAGCTAGGTATGCTAGAGAAGATGGGGGCAAAGAAGAGGGACAAGAAGAAGAGGAAGCTGGTGGTGATGGCCGTGATGCCCGTCCTGCCTCCTTCGGAAATGCCGGAAGCGGACTCGACAAAGGCTGTGCACGGGGATGAGCCCATCAAAGCTCCCATGGAGATGCTGAAGCTGTCGCTGAGAAATGCGGTGGAGGAACCTTCAAAGTCGTTGGAGAGCTCGTCGTAGACTTGAGCAGCTCGAGACATGGCGACGAGCGTTCCGGTGGTGTCCAGCGCGTCGATGTAGAGAAAAGAGATGAGGGCCAACCAAGCGTGGCCGTTCTTCAAGCCTGACCATTCGATGTTCTGTGGTCCCAAGAGGTCCAGACCGGTCCAAGTGGCCACCTGCTTGAAGAATTGGAAACCCGCATCGCCGACACCGCCATCGTCGTGCGGAAAGAGGGTGACGCTGGTGGTGCGAGGCCAGCTGGCAATGGCCACCAGCAAGATGGGCCACAGGAAAGCTCCTCGAACGCGGTAGAGCAGCAGCAGGGCTGTGAACACTCCGCCTCCAAACACTCCAAGCCAGACCTTGGGCGACTGCAGCACGCGAGATTGACCTGCGAGGATGGCGTGCGGTCAGCGGTGGGAGCGGTATATAGTCTGGGAGGTGGTGCGCAGCGACTGACAGTAACCATTGTCATCCTTGAACGCGTCTTGGCAGCCTGCCAAGCCAACCAAGTCGGTGTACTGTCCGCCCACCACCCCAATACCCGCCGGTCCAATGCCGATAAAGGCCAGGAATAGACCGATGCCCACACCGGTGGCCAAGCTCAAACTTCTAGGTATCAACCTTGCCAACCACTGTCTCAAGCCTATCAAGGACAAGAAGAAGAAGAGGACACCCTCGACAAAGACTGCAGCTAGCGCTTCTCCGTACGCAATCGTTCCGCCTTGACCGTACTGACCCACCACGCTGGCAAAGTAGGCATTCACACCCAAGCCAGGTGCTAGACCCAGCGGCAGGTTGGCTAGCGCTCCCATGAGAAAGGTAGCCAGTGTGGCCAGTGCGGCTGTAGTGACCACGTACTGCGGGGGGGGTGAGAGTAGCAGCAGGGAGCGGTTTGCGTAGGAGCAGGCACCGGGGAGCATCGTGGGAAACGTTTAGCAAAACACGAATGGGCAAATGGGTCGGCGGGACAGCTTTGATGCGCATCGACAGACACATGCAGCGAGCGAGCGAGCGAGCGAGCGAGGGCAAGCTTTGCCGCGCGACGTGGTGCGCGCAGCGACTGACTCACTTCTTGACGTACGCGCTGAACGCAGAGCTGATAGGTCTGATCCGTCGAGCGGTCCACACCGGCTGGAGCTGTGCAAGGTCCACCTGTGGAGCCGACAATGGCGGGATTGAGCGATAGAATGTAGGCCATGGCAGCAAATGTCTGTGTCCAGGCGGGCGGGCGGGATTTGAGGTTTGAAGAGAAATGAAAAAAAAGTGGTCAATTCAATGCACAGGCCGCGGCAGAGCAGCAGAATGAGCAAAAAAAGGAAGATGGATGGATGGCGTCACGCTTGCCACTGCCACTCACCACAAAGCCAGCTCGCACTTCGACGGTGAACTTTGCACCTCTACGTTCCAATGCATGTCCGCATCCTTCCAACTTGAACCACCTACCCACTGCCGATTTGGCGATGCTGTCGTTGAGCTTGTCCGACAGCTTGCTCAAAGCCGAGCTGGAAGCGTGGTGTGCGGGCGCGGGCGCGGGCGCAGACACGGTCGAGGTCGAGGTCATCGTCATCTTTCTTGCCCAACGCGAACGCGAGCGCAATGACGAATGAGGGTGGATGATGAAGGAGCGACGCGCATGGCATGGCTAACTTTGTATATGTAGTAGTAGTCGCAGCTAGCAGCGCCCGCCGCCTTGCCCGCCATGCAAAAGCTTATCTACGACTCACCACTTGACCATTCAGAAACACGCAGCAAGCCGTGACTCGTGACTGTTTCCCGAGATTCACGATTACATGCAAACACCCCTGCGCCGGCACCTCGAGAAGAAGAAATTTTCATGAGCTGAATGCACTGCACTGCATGTGACTGCATGCACCAGCTCCAGCAGCAGCAGCAGCATCAGCATCAGTCCGCGCTGCTGCATCCCCGCGCGCGTGCCTTGCACCCCTGCCATGCATATGCGTGCAGTAGCAGCAGCAGCAGCAGCAGCAGCAGCACCACCGCCACCCACCCACTCGTCCCGCGACTCTCGACTGCTCTATCTGCTGCCATAGCAGCGCAGCGGCTGATCGCGCGATGATTATGTTTTAAATCTGGCCGGCCGGCGCAAAAAAAGCGCAAAATAGCACACACATATGTCCCCGACATGCAGGCACCCGCGCTCGCTGCATGATCACCATCCGACACCGCCAGCCAGCCAGCCAGCCAGCCAAGCCACTCGTGCGCCATGTACAGTCGTGGGGAGCGTTCAGGCAGGGGTTTGGTCTGCACTCTGTGCGCAAGTCGCAAGTCGAGCGCAGCAAGTCACGAGTTTGCGAGTTCACCAGTTCGCGAGTTCAATGTCAAGCGAGCTCGCTTGGGGGAAAAGGAGGGTTTGGGGCTCGTTTGAGGGGGGAGAATAGGAATGCTTCGCTCTGCGTTGCGTTGGCCGCTTGGAATGCACGCGGTGATGTGATGGGGATGGGCAGTGGGCGTGCAAGCAAGCAAGCAAGCAAGCAAGCAAGCAGACGCCGCGCGGCCGCGAAAGATAAGCCCTGCTAGACTCGTTGCGAGCTCGTGTCGTGTGGCTTGAAGCAATTGAATGCCGATGCGCGGCGGGCGCGCGCGCGCGATAAGAGCTCATACAGTCGTGAGTCAAGTGTTGTAGTAGTTGAGTCACTAAGTGATAACGTGTGGGCACTCACGTGACTTGTGAGTCCATGCAAGTCAGAACAGATTCGTGGTTGTGATTCTCATACGAAAAGGCGAATGAATCGAATGTGCATCCTTAATTGTGCGGCGTACCAGTCGTGCGTCGCACGCGTACGTTGCCCCAAAATCCAAAGAATTTGAATTAATTGCCCGCGACGCCTGTATTTTCAGCAAATCCCAATCAAGTCACGAGTCACGAGTCTGATGAGGTAGGAGCTAGGTTGCACACAAGTGATCACGTGTATTGACACGTCGAAATCCAGCGCGAGGGGGCAATTCAAATTGTGATTCTTGAGTCGTGCGTGACTTTTCGACGAATCGCGCGCGCGCGAATCACGCGGATCACGAATGCGTACCGGTACCGGTACATCGGATCACTCGATCGATCGGGACCGATTCGATGCGGGTCCGGCTATGCAGCGGCAGGTATGATCCGCGTGCTGGGCGGCCGGCTATATATTCATGATGCGACTGGTGACTGTTGACCTGCGATCCAGCGGGCGGGCGGAAGCGATACTCGGTCGATTCATTGCAAGTCGTGAGTGTTTCGCAAAAGAAAATCAAAAAAAAGATTTCCTTGCTTTCCCCGTCGTAATCACCCTGCCTCACGCTAGAGATCAAGATGAGTGGATCAAGATGCGCTGAGGATGAGGAGGATGGGGAGGATGATCTGCCCGCGGGCGTACACAGAACGCCGGCGCCGTGGACTTTGCAAGGCGAATCGTGGATCTTTCCTCACTGGACCAGCACGCAACGCATCGCGGACATGCGACGTGAAAAGGCGACTCAAAGGCAGGAGCAGGAACAGGAACAGGAGCAGGAGCAGGAGCAGGAGCATGCGCTTGCTGACCGCAACAACAGCAGCAGCAGAGACGAGCAATTGGCCAAAGCTGGACTTTCACCAGGCTCCTTTCATCCGCTCGAAAAGCTGCATCCTTTGGCTCTAGCTTTGGCAGGAGATGCTGAAGAGGCGCAAGCGCATTCGAATGAGCAGACGCAGAAGGATGCCAACAATAACAATGCCGAGATTCGCGCCGCTGCTGCTGCGAGCAGCGCCAAAGGGGACGAGTTTAGAGGAGGAGCGGGGGGATGGATACTTTATCGATATACAGAGTCGCCCGTGGGCCCTTATGATGAGCTCATCTACGTCGCTGGACTCTTCAACAGTCCCAGTGCTGGCAATACAGGTGAGTGAGAGAGGGCGGGCAGCGCGCAATACGTTGCTCTTCTTGCCCTGCGCCTGCAGCGCCCATGTCCACGCACACGCACGCGCTGATCCTGCGCTCACTGTAGCATTGCGCATCACCAACATCTACGTCTCCAGCACCGCATCCGTCTACAATGGTCGCAAAAACTGGAACATACCCAAACATCGAGCGCTGTTCGAATGGTCGCAACCTCATCCTCCCCCTCCCCCTCGCCCTCGCCCTCGCACCTCTTGCGCTTCGAGTGCAGCCGCAGCCGGAGTCCAAACCGTCAGGGTGTACCTGCCAGCCGCGGGACCGCAGCAGCAGCAGGAGGAGCATCGCAAAGGCAAGGAAATCTTCGCTGCCAGACTCTTTCCTCATCTTTCCAGCTGCTGGCTGCCAAGCTTGCCCATTCCCGCCTTTACAGCGCTCATTCCCTCATGGCTCAATTTGAAGCTTTGCGCACCGCCTCTGCTCCGCGGCTCAAACAGCAGCAGCAGCAGCAGCAAGGACGAATTGCAAAGAGACAAGGAGGCAAAAGAAGAAGGTCTAGCCTCTTCGCAACCGGAAAATGTTTGGAGGAGCGTCTCGCCGACTTTTGCAGGGTGGGCCAAACTAGCTCGTGCGGAAGCTATTCTACTCGTGAGTTTGTGAGCCGCGCGCCGCGCGTCAATGTTCTCCTTCTCGCGAACGCTCCACGTTGCCGCAAGCTAAGCCATGACATGACGGGAGCTGGGAGCTGGGAGCGAAGGGACAAGAAAGAAAGAAAGAAAGAAAGAAAGAAAGAAAGAAAGAAAGGCCGGCGGACGGGCGGGGCGCAGCAGCAGCAGCAGCAGCAGCGTGATTTTTGGCAACTTGCTGACTGCTCGCTCCCTCTACCA